CCTTGGCTGCTGAGTGTCATGAATAAAGCTGCTGTCAACAGGTCATCACAAAGACAGTGGGAGCCATGCACCTGCTAACATACACACTTCCCAGACACACAACCATCCGTTCATGGTCTCTGAGCCACCAGCCTCACTCTTCCAGGTTCTGACAACCCTCCAAAACAGGTAAGGCTTCAGGCGGAAGGATCCCCAAGCCCCTCAGCAGATGAGAGAAAGTAGACAGCATCGTGCATCCAGGAAGCAGCCACTGTTTCCTGAGCTGACGCTGGCTACAGGGAGTCACATCACAAGCTCAGCTAGGAACCTGGAAATGCACAAGCAGGCCCAGCAGCCGCCATGTCCTCACACTGCCCCTGAGACACAGCCGCTCACACTGCTCTTGGCTCAGGCCATGCACACGCTATCTCTTCCACCCACTCAAAGCCAGTGTCCCCTCAGGTTGCACCTACATGCCACCATGGCACAACTCTCTGCTGACCACTGCAAGGACTGGTTTCCTTCCAGAGGCACTGGGGTGTGGTGATGAGCCGATAGGTCAGGCCTACTAGAAACTCCCACCTTGATTCTCCACTAAAACTGGAGATTTGTATTTCGCTTGCACAGACCTGTCCAGACCTAAAATCCAGCCAGTCCCATTCCAGTATACTAGGACCCAAATTCTGGCTGTAGCTGCCAAGAGCTACTAGCTTTAAGAATGTATATGGAGTGCTGGCAGCTAGCTTACTGTTTTAGATGCTATGTCTAACCTAAGGAGGCAGTATCATGGATGTACTATCAACATAGCTGATAGTACAGAACAAGTTCAGAGAGGTAAAGTTACATACCATGGTCACACAGCAATGAGATTAGCAATAAAATCTATGATCCTGACCGCTATAGAGAAACAGTGAGATGGCTCAGCAGGTAAAGACACTTATCAGCAAGTCTGAGGACTTCAGCTGGATCCCTGGAACCCACATCGTGGAAGGAGAAAACTGATTCCCTAACCACTACATAATGCTGTTCTCTTGAGGTTCCAGAAAACCCATCAGAGTCCCTGACACACCGGGAAGGAGGAGTGGGTGATACCATCTACAAATAAACTTTATAAATGTCCTCATTCTGTGGACTCCTATCAGAAGAAACTGGCTTGCCAAGGACACAGGATGGCAAGGTCAGGAACAATCTAGAGGTGTCCAGACTTCTGTTCCCACTGCACCACGCTGTGCCGATTTCCCCGGCCTCGGGAGGCAGCAGCCTTGCTCTATGCTGTCCACAGAATAACCGCCTTGACCTTCCCCTGCTGAAGGTCTTTCTCCTCTTCTCTGGTTAGCTAGCGCCTAAGTGGTAATTCCAAAGGAGTGAGTTAATTTTTAGTCTTGGCATAAAGGAGCAGTGGACAGGAGCAAAGAAACAAATTCCTCCAGGAAGGAAGCCAGGACGCCCGGTGTGTGGACACTGCAGAGAAAGGCCATATGCCTTTCATATGCCTTAATTTCTAGATTTTCACAATATTTTCCTGTAATTTATGCAAAAATCATACTTTAGTGGCCATGTTCATAGTGCAAAAGGCAACTCGAACTAGGAAATCACTGTTTTTGGCCTTCGATCATGGGAGCCATGAGTTCTCACTTACATCCATTTTGCTAAATGCTACACCCCTAGGAACACTGTGTACAAGCGACACAAATGTGCCCAGACACCTCTACCTACATGGGGCACACAGCCTGCAGTGGCTTGTAGTCAGCACCCAGGAATTGCTTGTGTGCTTCAGGGCTGAGGTAGAAACTGACCTGGGGAACAGCATGCCCAGTAACAGCAGAACACCACGCTCGTGGGTGGGTTCTCTGCAACTCCTACCAGGGACAGACAGGTCCCCACCAGATGAGAGGTGTCTTCTGCGCACGCTTTTGGACCGCAAGGAGCATCATCCTGGGCATGTTACAAAGGACAAGGGGCAGTCACTAGGAAGGAAGACCATTTTAAAGACACACAGCCCCACTTTGAGGCACATTTGTCAAATTTATTTCTACCTATCATCTTTTGGGCTACTGGCGTCAGTCTGAAGTGTCCATGTCCTGATCCCCTTTCTTCCCATGCTATAACTGATTCTTCCAGCATCTCTTGCTATGAGGCAACAGAAATGGGATCCAGACTTGTGTTAATCACACCTTCATCTGTGACAAATACATGAGAAAAACCACTTAAGGGAAGAAAGGCTTGTGCTGGCCCACAGTTTCAAAGATTCCAGTCCCACACCATCACGGCCAGGAGGGCAGAGCATAGCAGAGCAGTTCCGTCATGGTGGACAAGAAGCAGAAACAGAATGCCTGTGCTAGCAGGATTCTCCTTCTTCCCTTCTATTTCCCAGCCTGTGTGAAGGGTGCTCTTTTCCATTTAGTGACTCCCCTCTGGAAATGCCCTCACAGACACTGCCAGACATGTGCCTCATTAACCTCCTAGGCAGTCCTCGTTCCACACAAGGTGGCAAGGATCACAAGGTTAACCATCACAAGTTTCTGCCTATTGGGTGGATTCATGGCCAGGTGAAGACTCAAAAGCAACAAAATGAGAAGGTAGGTGCCAGGATCTACCATGGGGAGCTTGCTGCAGAGTCCCCAGCCCCATAGAACCAGCCATGGAGGAGCCTGCAGCATCTGGATGCTGGTACCACCCGTGAGATGTGGTGTCAGTGATGGACAGCATAGCAAAAGCGTCACCTCACGTCAGGTGCCTCACTGCAGTGGGGCTGGGCATGCTTCCACAGACTGCAATGTTTCAGACCAACATCGCTGACTTTGGTTGAACCAATCTCTTGTCACCTAAGATGCAAGCATGCTGTGTAGGACCAGAAGTGCCTTTTCCAGAAGCTCCTGAGTAGCAGAGGAATGCAGTCTCAGGACTCAGTCTCACTGTGTACAAACATGGCTCACCGTCTGCTACCTGGGGTGTGAACTTAATTCTGACCTCCAGTTATCTCCAGTGAAAAACAGCCAATGAAACCAATTATGTGACTGTTAAGAAAATGAACTATTAAACAGGTTTTGTAAATGAGGCATCGCCTATGTGTTTGGCATGGTCAGAACCATAAGCATTCTTTTCCCTCACTTCTATTCTGACAGCGTCATCTGTTAGCATTTCTTTTCCCGAGCTGCCATTTCCAAATCATCCAAGTTTTGGTAAGAAAGAAAGAAAAAAAATCAGGCAGGACATGGTCTTTAGGCATCAACCACTAGAGACACTTTTCAGGTTGACAATGATCTACTCGTAATTCTCCTGGGCTCTGTTTGATCAATGGGCTGTGAAGCCATCCAGTGAGACTGTCATCTAGCCGGTATTCTGACATCTACAAAAGGATGTCATTGTCGGGCTCTTGGTAAAAATACTGCAGTGGAACTTCCCAAATCCACTGGTCCTATAATGTTCATCTTTAAAACGCTGATGAGGACTGGAGATGAAGTTCAGGTGGTGGAAGGCTTGTCTAGCAGACACTAAGCCCCAGGTTCAATCCCCAGCACATGGGATGTGGAGGTGGGTGGATCAGAAGTTCAAGGCCATCCTCAGCTATATAGTAAGATTGAAGCCCAGCCTGGGATATATGAGACCCTGGCTGGAAGAAAATAAAGCATGTTCCCGAGTATGCTGTGTGTCCGGAGAGCCTCCTCTCCCATGTGCACCAACGACTCACCCAGAGAACTCTCCACACACCATGGGTGGGTGACACTTGCACCACTCTAGAGACAGCTACAAAGAACTCTGCTGGCTCCTACCAAGGCCTTGACCTTTGAGGTGGTCACCACCACACAATACAGGTATCCATTCTGGAAATCTGTTCAGGAACCTATTCTGTGTCATTCACCATCCACTAGTATATCCAGGCATGTCTATTAGCTACCGAGAAATGCTAGATGCTGGGCTAACAAACAGGCACAGTTCTGATCTCATGGAGCTTGAGCAGAAGAGAAGAGAGACACAGAGAAATAATGACCTTAAGTTAGGAAAGGTACCAAAACGGGAAACCCAGGAAGCCATCAGGACATGGTGGAGCCGGAAACCAACATGAAACTAGGGTGAAGAAGGGTCCAGTGCTTCCCAATTCTTCGTGCTATGCATAGAAAGTCAGTACCCTTAGCTGGCATTCATCTGGCTACATTCTTCTATTTTATGCATGTGAGTGTTTTGCTCCCATGTATAAGTATACCCAGTGCAATGCACGAGGAGGCCAGGAGTGTTGGGTCCCCTGAAACTGAAGTTATGGACTCTAGCCATGTTTGTTAGCCACCCCCTGGGTGCTAAGAACTGAACCCAGGTCCTCTGCAAAAGCAAGCAGCCAGTACTCTTAACCACTGAGCCATCTCTCCGGTCCCCGAGAGAACGTCAGATAACTTCTGAGGTCTCTGAACATCAGATTAAGGCAGCTGACAGTGAACGGGGAAGCATCAGGAACCCTTTGAAGGTATTGGAGGAGGAAGGTAATGCAATCAGAGCTGCATTTGCACAAGGTGGAAAGGGAGCTAGAAAAGAGGTGACGCCATCAGGTGGATGTGTCAGCATCCCACTGAATATGGGAGGGGTGACTGCATCAGTCTGGCAGAAGTTTCACTTTCTGTGTGTACCTTTGATTTTTCAAATGAGTACTGCCTAACCCTCAGTACAGCAAGCCTACATGCTATGCAATCCAGGTGAAGGCTGAGAAATAACTTATGTTAACTGACATAATTAATAACTTTTGCCCACTGTAATGAGTTGAAAAGATATATAGTATAAAACTACCAGAGTGTCTGCCAAGAAAATTAAATAGCAAGTAAATTATTAAAATCGGTGATTGAAACAGCTATTGTTCACAAAAGCCTAGAAAATACTGATTTAATTGTGAGACTTAGGTCTTAAAAAAATAATAATGCCATGTGCTCAATTAAACCATACCGGAAACTTTTCTTAAGCCAGGCTGACACCAAGGAGTTCTGCCGGGCAAAGTCCCTTGAGACAGAAAAAGGTCTCTAGTTACCACTGAGGACTCATAGGACTGTGAGTGAAGGTCAAAGCCATGGTAGTTTCTCCAAAGTATGCTGAGGCTTGAATGCACCCCCATTTTCAGGAAGTAGGGCCAGTGCGCTGGGACAGTGGTTGCACTTACCCCGTGTCATCCTGGAATCCTTCCAGTTCATCCCGCTGCTCTGCCAGCGTGGCCTCCAGATCCAGGTAGGCACCATTGTGAGACAGCTGCAAGGTACAGTCGTCAAGCTGCAAGAGAAAGAGCCAGTTAGGCCTGAGGTCTCCTGGCATGGGTACTGAGTACCTACAAGTCACCTTATCCTCCCTCGTGGGCTTTTAGATATCAAGAGTTACTCTGAATTGTGGTTCATAGCTGGAAGAGGGAATTCACTAGTGTAAGAACCCTGGAGCAGACAGAAGACAGCAGAGGACTGACTGAAACTGACCAAGCTGTGAAGCTTCTGAGGCTCCTGCAGTGGGTAGCATTCTACTGTATTGAGAATGATTATACTTAAAAATGCAGGCAAATTATTTTGCCAAACACTGAGAATAATATGATAGAAAGCTAAGTGTATAATTTCATGTTCTACTCCACAGGTTGGCAGGGAGGCTCTTGTAATTCATCAGTTGAGTTATGACTGTAGTTCCAAAATGAAATCTAGTAACTCATGCCTTAATCCCCGCACACAAGAGGCAGAGGCAAGAGGCAAGCCAGCCTAGTCGACATAGCAAGTTCCAGGCTAGCCAGGACTATACAGACCCCTCAGTGACAACAATAAAAAGATATTAGTCTCTCATGAAGAAGCTTGGCTTAGTACCCTCAACAAAACTCCACCCTGGCAACCTGCTCAGAGCTAGCATCTGTGATGAGGTGTTCATCTCTGGTAGAGACCTGAGCTTGCTTGACTCTGACCACCCTCAACAAGATAAAAGGTGTTTGTTCTTTACTGTTAATGTTTGGGAGAAAGACCTAGTTCGTGCTGGGTATGGCATGCACCTGTGATCCCAGCACTTGGGAGGCTGAGGCAGGAAGATTTCAAGTTTAAGACCCTGTCTCAAAAACTCAAATCAAGAAGGCAGGCAGGGAGACAGGGAGGCAGGGAGGGGAGGAGGAGGGAGAAGGGTAGTTAAACAATTTGAAGAGTTAATCCTATTTTAAACATGTCGTGTTCCTATAATAATAATTAAAGACATGCTGGTGAATCCCAGGTTTCTTGAGTAACATCTCATAGACAAATGACGTGATCTGAGAAAACATTTAAATATAGAATCTTATGGGCCAAACCCACTTTACTAAGGTGTCTGAGGTGGATGCCTAGGGTTTGTGGGGAAAGGTGCCAGGGAGCTGCTTCCCCCGTCATATTGAAGCAGTAAACAGGAAGCGATTCCTGCAGAAGGCGCCTCCCTAACCAAGGGTCTCCTGTGGACTGAAACTGGACTTTCTCACCCCTGTGGCCATGTGCACTGGCCCTTGAGCAAAGCTGAAACCACTGGCAGGCTGTTTGTGCGTTTAACCTCTACTGCAGGTGTTAACAAGTAGCGCTTAATTAGTGAGCCCTGTTTGTAGTTATCAACACGTTTACTTATGTCTAACCCATCAGCAGACCAAATGAACACCCTTTAACTACAAACCATTTCTTTTGTTCCAGCCCCAAGAAGTATCTGAGCTTAGAGAAAGAAGCTTCTGGATTAAGAGTCCCTACTTCTCCTCAAAAGGGTCTGAGTTGTTCAGAGGCTATCGGTCATGCTGCCTCAGGAGAAAGCCAGGAGTGAGGGGAAGCCCTGGGTACAAAGAGGCAGAACCACATGTAATGTGGGTAATGTAATATGATTCCCACCATGGTCCTGTTCCCCCACTGTTCTAGTTTGCCTTCAATTGCTGTGACAAAATAGTCTGAACAATAGCAACCTGAGAAGGAAAGGGTTTATTTGGCTTACGTTTCCTGGGTCACAGTTCGTCACTGAGGGAGCCAAAAGTAGGAACCTGGAGGCAGGAGCTGAAGCACAGGCCACGGAGGAGTGCTGCTTACTGACTTGCTCCTCTGGCCCCCACTCAACCTGTTTTCTTATACAACACAGGCCCACCTGCCCAGGGTTGGCACTGCCCACAATGGGCTGGGCCCTCCCACATCACTCAATAATCAAGAAGATACCCCACAGACATGGCCACAGGCTAGTCCAATGAAGGAAATTCCCCAACTGAGGTTCCCTCAACCCAGATGTGTCAAATTGACACTAAAGCGATCCAGCACATCTACCAACCAGAAGACACCTGTGTAATGGTTCACCAGGACACAAGGCTTCCCCGCCTCAAGGCAGAGACAGCTCTCAGACAATTAGGAAGTGATGTGCTTCGGACATCTATTGACTGTTTTAATGTAATTGCAACGTTCTATACCACAGTTTTTAATAATGATAACATTCAACTGACTCACAAAATTTCTGCAGATTTCATGATGGCCATTAGGAGCCACCCAGACCAGGGCTAGCACACAACTCCTGGCCCTCTTGGGTCAGCTGAGGCATGACTGTAGAAACAGCAGTGGGGACGGAAGGACTAAGATGCCCTGACCTGAGATTTGAGTCTGAGCCATCTCACATAAGCCCTGTGCCCTTCCCCCCAACTGGGATGGAGCAAGAGGCGTGTTGGTGGCCACAGTGTCTTCCTGGCCTAATGGCACTGGACAGCTCCATCCAGAATCTTCCAATTTTATTCCCAGCTTCCTGGATGGTCCCTGTGGCCTGCCAGGGATCTGCCTCCACGTGCTCTGGGTCAAGCCCCAAATCATAACAGGAAACCCCACAATCTTCCCAGCCTCTGAAAACAAGATCCCCAAGCCTCAATCTAACTGCCTGTTCCCACCATTCCCCTCCTCATATTCCAGGCATCAGTAAGTACCACCATTTCCAGAGCTCCATCTTAACAAAATTATATATGGGACACAGGCAGGGTACCAAGGAACACAGAACTGCTTCCTTCCCTCAGAAACACAGTTTCCTTGAGAAAGCATGACAGACAAATGGGGTGTAGATTAGGATCAGACTCCATTTCAATCCCGTCACAGTATGTGGGTGCTCCTCCTCAGGCATGCTCCTGTGACTGTCTTCAGTAGAAATTAGAATCTTCCATAAAACTACCCAAGTCCCCAGCCAGAAGAAAGCTATCATTTCTTCCCAGCCAAATGTTACCACCTTGATCCCCTAATTAAAGGGTGAACAAGCTCCTCCCCATCTGCACCTTCAGGGGCACATGTGGGTTAAGCCCAGAAGAAGTGTGTGAGGAGGAGCAAATTGGGTATCGACTTCCCTAGGGAGAGGCTGCCCTAGGGGACATGTGTACACAAAAGGGATCCTAACAGCATGTGGCCTGGGGAGATGCCAAAGGAATCAACACGCACTGCCTAAACCATTCCACGTCACGGGCCTAGCCTCCTCGTGGGACCCCAGACATGGGATTAATATTTAAACCATCTGGTGAGCCAAGAAGCAAGGATAAAGTGCTTTTAGGCTGGGGTGACAGTCAAATAGTCAAATATCCAAGACAGTCCAGAGCAGGGAAGGTCAGCTTTGGGTGTCATTTTATAAACTAACTGAGGGAGGGTCAGCTTTGGGTGTTATTTTACAAACCAACTGACAGATACCCGCTCTTCTCACTGCTGAGACAACAGCACTGTAAGGAGGGAAGGGTTTGCTTTGGCTCAGGGACATAGCACATCATGGCAGGGAAGACACAGAAGAAGGAAGGTGAGGCAACAGCACTGTAAGGAGGGAAGGGTTTGCTTTGGCTCAGGGACATAGCACATCATGGCAGGGAAGACACAGAAGAAGGAAGGTGAGGCAGTCGGTCACATGGCATTCACAGTCAGGAAGCGGAGAGCCGTGAATGCCAGTGCTTGGCCTGCTTTCTACTTTGCACTTCATTTTAAAACCCCAGTCACATTCAAGGCAAGTCTCCCCTCCTCAGTTAAACGCTTCTGAAAACACACATATAGATGCACATGGAGGTGTGTTTTCACGGTGATCCTAAATCAAGCTGACAACAAAGATCAACCATTGTGGTGCTATGGATGAAGGTTTCAACCTGGTCATTGATACTAACTAACCTTTACAAACTTCCAAAGGCAATGTGCAGAGGCACTGAGGAGCGGCCAGTTCTAAACATTATTATAAATATTCAGGCAGAAATAGCCAAACTTTCCCTACTCAGACACCTCCCTGCCAGACCAAGTCCCTGGCCGCCATTCCTGCTTAGGGGAGGCAACCTGATCCCCTGCCTTGGCATCTCATGTCAAATGTCCTCCAGGATGACTTAAGGGCCCTGGAATTTCCTGACTCCAACAATTTTCATGTCAACCCCGATCCCCTGGCAGCATGTCCCCTGAACTCCTTTCCGTGGCTGAAGATTTGGTGGCCGGGATGTTGTTGGGCACTTCAGGACTTAAGACAAAGCAGAGTCATGTGGGGAGTCAGCATTCCAGGGCCATTATGGACAGCGGTGATTAGGGAATTTAGGGACGGTGACAGTGGCCTGGCTAGAAGACTTCAGATCAGGTTGCAGCTGTCAACCTGTGGCCAGGATTCTGGCGGGGAGTGAGCTGCTCTGGGGGGAGTCAATCCCGAGCAACAATAAGGGTCCTTCTACAGCCCCTGAATCTGTGCCACTCTATCCCCAGGACAAAACATGCCATTTAAGCAAGCCCTGTTCTCTGGAGACAGAGAACACCCTCTGCTCTCTATACAGAGGCTACACAAAGTGACTCTGGGGTTCTTTTGACTAGTCCTACAAAGACACAGCACTCGGAAAGGGCAGGCTCACCGTTCCTGACAAACCTCAAACAAGGCTGATGTCACGTCTCAACTTACATATTCTTTCCCTCCCTGAGCCAGTGAAGCGATGTGTTGCTGGGGCAGTTTAATTAATGATTATTTGGGTTCTGGCAGCAAGTCTAGAATGAGTCTAGTCTAGGTAATAAAATTTCTGTGTAACCCTGAAATAGTTTTGCATAGACTCCTTCTATAAATATACATGGAGGATGCCCTTTAAACTAATTTTGGTAGTTGCTCAGAAGTGAGAAAATATCTACTGATTTAACAAGAGAAGAAAAAGCTTAAAGAAAAGCTCAAATGAGAACCACTCATTTGTGTCTGTTGATGGGATCCTCCCACGCTCGCATCCACAGTCTCCCCATGTGACTTTGGTACAACCACCTGGAACCCAGGCTGACCTATGTTTCACCTCTCAGGGGTGG